AAGCCAAGGGACTAGCCATTTCTATATTGTTGCAGGAGTGTCCAGCCTTTTGACATCCTAACATGATGTCATTTACAAATGTGATGGACCACATTCCTAACTATTCTGGGACACATGAGGCTAAAGCCATAGGTTGGATATGCCTGGTTTATATCACTTAGAACTATAGGAACATCTAATTGATACTAATAAGTAGAGAATAACTACTTTCTGTGTTGTTATAGTATTAGGAAACAAGTAAAATACAGATGCATAACAAACTAAAATAATTTTGTCAGGCATAGTCACATACACAGGCATGTATTCATAGTTCCCAGGTCAAGGTTGGAGTCAGCTTTCAAACCAGAAGAGAAATCTCTGTTGACTCATGAGGTCATGGTAAAGGCAGAACTCAGAGTAGGGCTCATAGGCCAGACCTGCCCCCAGAAAGTCAGAGCATGTGTAGCCCAAGCACAGGCAGAGGACGACTCTCCAACCCAGGACAGGGGCTGCCTCTGCCTTGGTATTATTGTTTGTTTTTTTGTTTGTTTGTTTGTTTGTTTCATTTTAGAATATTTGTTTGTTTGAGACAGGTCTTGCTATGTAGTCCTGGGTGGCCACATAAATTCTCAACCTTCCTGACTCAACCTCCCAAGTGTTAGAATTATAGTCATATACCACAATACCTTGCCCTCTACTTTAGTTTTTTAAAAGTCTTTGTTTGGGTAGGAAAATGTTGGCAGACTTTTCTAATTTCCAGAATCAGGCCTGCTTCTATGGATGTGCTTGACTGGTCATTGCTCTGTGACCAGTCCCAGAGCTTTATTCTATTAGCAATGGCCACCATGCACTATTAGCTTGGCCCACTACAGGTAAGGCACAAAGAAGTGTGAGTTCTAAGCTGTAGCCTGGGTAGACCAGGTCTCTGTATTTGCTTTAGGACTAATTTGAAAAGCAGTTAGTATTTCTACTATGGGAGTGGCAGCAAGGACAGAGATGAAAGTTGGATGCAAGAAACATTTTCCTTTGCATGCTAATTTTTTTTAATTGGAAAAAAGACATAAAGCAAGGAGAAATCAAAACTTAGTACCTTCTTTGCTGTGGAGGTTAAAAAAAGAAAAGGACTCCTCAAAAGTAAATCTACAGTTTCAGAGCCAAGCAACTAGATAAATATTTTATGAACAGAAATGGAGATGTTAGGATGAAGGATTGGATGGCTAGGTTTTATGGAAAAGATAAGGAGTTCAGCTCTGGAAGATCATCTTTGATGTAGCAGGAGGCAGAAGTAGATTACTGGAACATTCTAGGGGAAACTTGGCCTGTGATAAACATGTGGGAGTCGCCTGCATAGAGATGACAGCTTAAACTGTTTGAATGGGTGATGTCGTCCAAAGAAAACAGTCAGAATGCTGGAGATGCCAGCATTTTAAGGAGGAAGAAGACTGGCCCAAACATACTGTATGCAATGAGCCATGGGTTGGGGGGAGCGGGTTACAGATTCATATAGGAGCAGATAAGAGCATTAAGAAGGAAGCTCTGGTCAGCAGTATCAGATGCTGCAGAAGGGTAAAGGAGAGTAAATGAGAAGAGCCATTGGATTAGGCAATTAGGAACTTATTTACCTTAAGAACACAGGCCTGGGGCTAGAGAGATGGCTCAGTGGTTTAGAACACTGGCTGCTCTTACAGAGGATCTGGGTTTGATTCTGAGTACCCACATGGCAGCTAACAACTGTCTAGTTCCAGGAGATTCGATTCCTTCTTTTGACATCTGTGGGCATTGCACAACACAGGTACACTTAACACATATGCAGGCAATATTCTCATACACATAAAATTTAAAAAAGAACACAGGCCTATGGTATGTGACTGGGGGGCGGCGTGGATTAAGGATGAGGACTGAAGAAAAGAGTACACAAAGCATCAATTTAAGGTAAGAAGGAAAAAATGAAGCAGGGGGAGCATTTTTGTTACTCATCCTGCCTTGAAAGTTGAGAGTTTGTATGTGCACATATATGTGAAGACAGAAGGAAGGGATTAAGACAACCCCTGATTCAGTACCAACTAAGGACTTCAGTCCATTGAACAGGGAGAAATCAATAGTTTCCAGGAAAAAAAAAAAAAAAAGGAGCAGCAGAAGCAGGGTTCTAGAGAGAATGGGGGAATACGAATCAGAGAAATAGGAGAAAATGAGGCTGACCTCAGGCTGCTGGGCAAAGTAGAAGGTGGGGATCTGCTGAAGAGAGGGAGGACCAGGGTGACGGGTGATGGGTTATAAGGAAAATGTTATGTAAGTACTCTAATGCTGGGGGCTCAGAGAGCAGCAGGAGCTAGGATGGCTAAGTACCGACAGTGCTCAACATATGCCCCACTTTCTTTGTGCCTTTATAAGAAGTGGTTGGGGGTTAGGGGGATGGCTCTTCAGTAAAGTGCTTGGCATACAAGCATGAGGACTGAGTTCTATTCCTAGCATCCATCTAAAAGGCCACATGCAGCACTGTATACCTGTAATTTCCAACACTGAGGAGGTAGAGGCAAGAAGATCTCTGGAGCTTTCTACCAGATAGTCTAGCTGAATTGATGAGTGACAAGTTTAATAACCCAGGTCCTCTGTAAGAGCAGCCAGTGCTCTTAAAAAAAAAAAAAAAAGATAAGGTATCTCAGAAAATAAGATGGAAAGTGACTGAGGAAGATACCTATCAGTGTTAACCACTGGGGGCCTCTGCATACACATGCATGCACATCCAGATGTGTACACACATGTGTGCACACACACATGAAATGGTTATCAGTGGCAGCTTAGAAGGTAGTGTTTGTTTCTACTTCCACCTTTTAAGGATTTACCCTTTCTTGTCACTGTAGCATTTTTCCTTAGTACATACTCTATGAATTTTTGTTATTTTCAATATCACCATAAATTTACAACCAGTCCAGAAGGGTCTTAAATATGTCTGAGATTATCTAAGTTGCAGATATGTTAGTTGTTGGTATGAAATCATAATACTTTGTATGTATAAGCCAGAAGTTGACATCAAAATCGTCCTTAATCACAATCTACTTCTTTTTGTTTTTTTGTTTTTTTTTTTTTATTTTTTTGAGACAGGGTCTCCCTGTAGCCCCTGCTGACCTAGAACTCTCTGTGTAGACCAGTCTGGCCTTGAACTCACAGAGATCTGCATGCCTCTGCCTCCCACGTACACCACCAAGCCACCTTTTTTTTTTTTTTTAATTAAAAAAAGAAAGATAAGGTTTCTCACTGAACCTGGAGTTCACTGTTTGGTTAGACAGGCTGGCCAGTGAGCCCCAAGGATCCCTCCTGTCTCCACCTCCCCAGTGCTGACTGTTTGCACACAGTCACAACTTTTTTTGTGTGGAAATCAAACTTAGGCCCTCATGCCTACACAGTGAACACTTTACTGATTGAGCTGTCCCCTGCCCCCCAGCTCTTGAGATCAGGATTTTTGAGAGACGTTTATTAATGCATGGATTGACAGGAAACGTGAATGAGAAGCCAATGAATGGTGCTACTCTGTCCTGTCCAAAAGATGATATAGTTTTTTTAAATGTGTATGAATGTTTTGCCTGCATGTGTGTAAGTGTGCCCGTGTTGTGCAGTGCCCCTGGAGGTCAGAAGAAGGTATTGGATCCCCAGAACTGGAGTTATGGACAGTTGGTAGCCGCCATGTGGATGCTGGGAATCAAACCTGGGTCCTCTACAAGAGCAGTCAGTGCTCTTAACCACTGAGCCATCTCTCCAGCCCCCAAAATGATATAATGTTTAAAGCTAGCTAAATACTAGACCAACTGCTGATCTGCTCAGCTCTGTAGAATTTAATTAAGATAACCAAGATGCCAGGTGGTAGGATGTCAGAACCCAGATAATCATGAGAGGCCCTGCAATGAGGCTTGTGTGGGAACATGTTTCTTAAAAGCAGTTAACTTGGCTGTTAGGGCCTGTGACAAGGCTGAGTTTCCTGGGCCACTTGATAAAGTCTTCAGATTTAGCAAGATGCAACCTGGTAAGAATGGAGGAAGATTTGGTTTCTGTTAAGAATATATTTATAAGAAATAAATGATGAACTAAGTGCTAATTCTGCATCAGATTCTTTTTTATTATGTGTATGAGTGTTTTGCCTGCATGGACCATATGTGTACAATCCCCATGATGACCAGAAGAGAGCGTTGGATCCCCCTGTACTGGAGTTTTGATATATGGATGGTTGTGAGCTGCCATGTGGGTGCTGGGAACTGAACTCAGGTCCTTTGGATGAACAGTCAGTGCTCTTAACTACTGAGACATGTCTTTAGCCCCCTGCATCTGATTCTTGACTGTATTCTCAGCTCTATTTTAAGAGTCTCCTACCGTCCTACGGCTGACAGGTATAACAGTGGAACTTGGAAATCACTGATCCCACAAAGAGACCAGAATGTACTTCTGGGTAGAATCGATTCTCTTTTTCAGATCTTCTTCCCAGCCCCATCTCTATCTTTGTCTCTGTCTCCGTCTCTCTCTGTCTCTCTCTGTCCCCTGACCCCTGTATGTATGTATGTATGTATGTATGTATGTATGTATGTATGTATGTGTATGTGTGTATATCCACACACATATGCAGGCCACAATAGGTGTGGAGGTCAGAGGACAACCCCAGGTGTTGGTCCTCACCTTGCACTTTGTTTAAGACAAGGTCTCTTATTCTGCATACTCTAGGCTAGTTAGCCCACAAGCTTCTGGGGAGTCTCCTGTCTCAGCCACCCATCTTGCCATAGGAGTGCTGGGATTGCAGGTACATGTGATTGTGCCTGGTTTTGCATGGATTCTGGGGATCTGAACTCCAGTCCTTGCACTTGTACAGCAAGTGATTTATCTGCTGAGCCATCTCCTATGTCCACAAGCTTCTCTTGAAGTGGGAGGACAATGTCTTCTATGGCTCAAGCCATTGATCAGAACCCAGGTGAATTGATCGAGTTTACTCACGGAAGGGTAACTCACATATGTATTGTTCCTTTTTTCTTTTCTTACAGGTATGGCCTCACATGTGCAAGTTTTCTCCCCTCACACCCTTCAATCAAGTGCCTTCTGTAGTGTGAAGAAACTGAAAGTAGAGCCGAATTCCAACTGGGACATGACTGGGTACGGCTCCCACAGCAAAGTGTACAGCCAGAGCAAGAACATACCACCTTCTCAGCCAGCCTCCACAACCGTCAGCACCTCCTTGCCAATCCCAAACCCAAGCCTACCTTACGAGCAGACCATCATCTTCCCAGGAAGCACTGGACACATAGTTGTAACATCAGCAAGTAGCACTTCTGTCACTGGGCAAGTCCTCGGCGGACCACATAACCTAATGCGTCGAAGCACTGTGAGCCTCCTTGACACCTACCAAAAATGTGGACTCAAGCGCAAGAGTGAGGAGATTGAGAACACAAGCAGTGTGCAGATCATTGAAGAGCATCCACCCATGATTCAGAATAATGCTAGCGGGGCCACTGTAGCCACTGCCACCACATCCACTGCCACCTCCAAAAACAGTGGCTCCAACAGTGAAGGTGACTACCAGCTGGTACAGCATGAAGTGCTGTGTTCCATGACCAATACCTATGAGGTTTTAGAGTTCCTGGGGCGAGGGACATTTGGGCAAGTGGTCAAGTGCTGGAAGAGGGGCACTAATGAAATCGTGGCTATTAAGATCCTGAAGAACCACCCCTCATATGCCCGGCAGGGTCAGATTGAAGTGAGCATTCTGGCCCGGCTGAGCACAGAGAGTGCTGATGACTACAACTTCGTACGGGCCTATGAGTGCTTCCAGCACAAGAATCACACATGCTTGGTCTTTGAGATGTTGGAACAGAACCTGTATGACTTTCTGAAACAGAACAAGTTTAGCCCCTTGCCCCTCAAATATATTCGTCCGGTCCTCCAGCAGGTAGCCACAGCCCTGATGAAACTCAAAAGCCTGGGTCTTATCCATGCTGACCTCAAACCAGAAAACATCATGTTGGTGGATCCATCCAGACAACCATACCGAGTGAAGGTCATTGACTTTGGCTCAGCCAGTCATGTATCCAAGGCTGTGTGCTCCACCTACTTGCAGTCCAGATACTACAGGTAAAACTGTTTCCATGGAGACAGTCACGGGATGCAGGAGACCCAGTGACATCCACAGGGGATGTACAAAGGGAGTCACCGTGGGGGAGATAAGCATACATGCTAGTGGTTGCTGCCCTCAAGAGACCTTGAGATGGTTGGGAATTAGGACACATGCAGATTGAAATGACAATGAGAAGCCATCTAAGAAGTGAGCCAAGTAAGATTTTCGGTCTAGATGTTGAGAGTTGAAAGGATCTCTGGGAGCTGGGTAAAGAGCAGAGCCAAGTGGAGGGGTCAGGTCGGAATGAATGGAGAGGATCCAGACAGCTGGAGCAGGGATGGGTGTGCCAATCACAGGGGCACCAAAGTGCAAGACTCGTTCTGGAGATGAGGAGGAGCTGCCTGGCCAGCTGAGAGGATTTGTGAGTAGTGGGAGATATGACTGAAAAGATAGATTGGGACCAGCTTTGGGGGGGACCTTAAATACCAGACTAAGAAATTATAGCTGTATCCTTAAACCTGGAACAAGTCCTGGAAACTTTGAACACCAGGGGGTAGCAGGTTGATAGTGATGGTCTGAGAAGACGACTATTATATCAGTATAGAAGAGGCTGGAGGAAGCTAGAGTCTGTCCCAGGGCCAGTTGGCTCCTTCCTATGATGAGTGTACATCAGGCTTCACATTTAGATGTTGGAAGAATTATCATACCCTTTTGGTTACTGTCAGGAGATACCTGAGACTGGGTAGCTTTGTAAAGAGAAGAGGTTTATTTGGCTCACAGTTCAAGGTCACAGTGCTATCCTCAGCTTGACTTTGGTGAAGGCCTCGTGGCAGATAGCCCCACAATGGCGGGAACATGCGGGAGCAAGAGATCATATGGCTAGACAGGGAACCAGAGAATAGTTCAAGGTCTGACATAAAATTTTATGACAGTTTCTTTGAAGAAGACTGACTCAAGGGTCCCTAACCTTAATCCCTTTGAAGGGCAGCACTGACAATGAACTTCCACTAAGCCTTACTACCTCCTAACATTACCATACTGAGGACCTGTCTTTGAACACATGATTGGAGGATAAGCCACATCTGTGTCCTAGCAGGAAAACTCAGACAGCCAACAGTACTTATCTTATTTCTTTAAGATTTATTTTATTATTTTCATTTATATGTATCTGTATGTGGGCACATACACGAGTGCTGGTACCCTCTGAAGCCAAAGGTATCTAATCCCCTGGAGTTACGTATGGTTATGAGTTACCAGTGTAGGTGCTGGGAACCAAATTTAGGTTTTCTGGAAGAGCAATAAGGGCTCTTAACCACTGAGCCATTTCTCCAGCAACTGTTTTTCTCATTTCTAAACATGGACTGCACACAAGGCCCTGGCCGTCCCAGAGCCTCCAGCATACTGCAGGCTTTGGAGTCAGGAAAATTCACTAGGCTGTATGACTTGACTGATTACCTAACCTCTGTATTCCCTCATTTCCTGACCTCTGAGATGGAGGTTGGGGGTTCTTTTACCAGCTTCAGGGTGCTCTTGGACCACCTCATGCTATGACACCAACCTAGTGCTATTTGCAGTAGCCAGCCTGTGAGAGACACACAATAAGGAATTAGTGGAGATGGAAAGCAAGGGTCAGGGTTGTGGAGTGCTGAAAAGCTACGCTAGAAGTATAGCTCCAGACCAGTCCCCTGGAAATGGAAATCAACAAGAAAAGAAACTCAAACTCCCATGAGAAGGTTAAGACTGACCCACATCCAAGATTGTAGCAGTAACAGGAGAATCTAGAACTTGGTGCCTGAGACCTCCTGTCCCACACCCTAATGGTTGGCTGTGCTTTCTCATACCTCCTTCAAGGCCCAGAAGGAAAGGCTAGACAGACCTGAACCATGTTGACACAGCTAACCCATGACCCATTCTGAGGCTGAACAGCCAGCCCTGGCTACTTGACTTCTACTTTTTCTTGCTCCTCCCACTTGGCCCAGCTGCTACCTGTTGGACAGTTGGATGTCTCCTCACCTCTCTGTCTCAGCTCCCCCATTCCACCCTAAGCTCTCAGTCACACCCTCCTTTCTGTCTCCTTGGGTTTGTTTGTTTGCTTGTTTGTTTTGTTTTTGTTTTTGTTTAATATTCCTCAGTGTGTTCAGAAGTGCCACTGGCCTGAGTCTACAAAGGCCTTGCTCAACTTTGGCAGGGCTTCTAAGGTGCTGTGGTTTACAAGGGAAGCCTGGCAGATCACTGACTGACCAGCAGAGATTAGGATGGACCATGGGTTTTTGTTTTGTTTTGTGGGGGTTTTTTTGTTTTGTTTTGTTTTGTTTTCATTTTTTTTTCTCATTGCAGCTGGTTTGTTTGTTTGTTTGTTTGAAGCAGGGTCTCCCTGTAGCTCCAGCTGTCCTGGAACTCACTGTGTAGACCAGGCTAGCCTTGAACTCACAGAGATCCGCCTGCCTCTGCCTCCCAAGTGCTGGGACTACAGGCATGTGCCACCACGCCCGGCCTTTGTTTTGTTTTTTAAAGTTCTATTTCTATCTATGTTTATCTGCGTATGCCTTCGTATGCCTTCATGAGTATATGTGTACCATGTGCATGCAGGTGTCTGCAAAGGCCAGGTGTCAGATCCCCTGAAATGGGAGTTATAAGAGGTTTTGAGCAGCCTGATGTGGGTGCTGAGAACCAAACCTCTGCAAAAGCAGTATGTGCTTTTAACTACTGAGCCATCTCTCTAGTCCCTATCCTTGTGTTTCAATCTGACTCAGAGGATAGGTCTTAAGGCTTCTCTACTCATTTTAAGAGGGATTTCTGGGTTGTAGTGGCACTTATCTAGCTCAAGAATCTGATGTGAGAAAGCAGTTTTTTCTCCCTGAATTCAGATAGCACACAGCTTCCTGCTCTTAGGAATCCCCACTGGCTTCTACATGCTCATGAGGAATGGGTCTACCCCCTCCTGGCTCCATTTTTCCTCTTCAACATGGTAGCTTGCTTCCAGACCCTACTGGGCATGACTGGGAAATGTGTGCCCACTGTTGGACTAGAAAGGTGAAACCTGCAGTGGGGGACTGTTTATGCCTCCTTGGTCCAGAGGGAGGGTATCCACAGAGAAGGAGGGATGGTGGTCTGCTCATGCTGAGTGTTAGGTACCAGTACAACAGCCTGTGTTCTCTGGAAAGCATCTTACCCTTCCTTGAAATTCAGCTCTGTATGGTCCAATACTGTCCACCTCTGGAAGCAGTCTGCCCCAGGGGTGGGTGATGCTGGCGCTTTTTCTCCACTCACTGCAAACTGGAGGCTGTTGCTGTCACTTTATATTTAGGCTTACAAATTCAGCATGCCAAAGGCTATTTCTTCCCAGTTCTTGGCCTGAATTTAGGGCAAACTGTGCCAAAGTCAAGGGCCTCTCGAGGATTTATTATTTAGTTAACCTGCACTGCTCTTTGTGAACAGAACCCAGCTTCATTGAAGTTTGCAAAAAAAATAAAATAAAAAGACCTTTAAAATAACATTTAATAAGCAATGCATCCTTATAGCAAAATTTGAATCTAAAAGAAGTTTGGGATTGTGAAGCCTTTTTTGTATTTTCACCCTCTTGTGCCCCTTTCACTCTGCCCACTGCCTGCCCTTCCTGCTGAGGACTGCAGTCTTACTTTGCTTTGTGGGTGGCAGTAGAGTTTCTATGGGAGCTAGGGGAGGTCTGAGCCCTCTACTTGGACTTCATATGTCCCCTCTTCAGCATCCTTGAGCCCCAGTCAGCCTTTCAAGCACCTCTGTGGGATGATGAAGGCTGTTTTGCCCTTGGGAGTTCTATCCTGCCCTCTTGTCAGTTCTCAGCAGGCACAGTGGCCTCTATTATCTGCATCCCCATTTCCCTCCGAGGGACTTTCCTTTTGGGTGTCATAGTACCATCCTTTATTTAGACTTTAAGTGACTGCTACCTAAAATGCTGGGTAGAATGACTTCTTCCTCAGGGTCACCATGGCCTTGGATCCTCAAGACCAGCCAGACAGCTCGGAACTGGGGCCAAAGGCACAAGAGCCCTGGAATGATGCTCCATTTCCAAATTAGTCACCATGTTCTGCCTACCTCAGGCTTCATCTGAGGTCTGGTGTGGTCAGCCTGCTGCCACATAGGTCAGTGGGAGCTTTGAAAACAGCCTTTAGCTTTGTCCCTGTACATCCTAGCTGTGTGGGACAGCCACTCTTGACCACACTGTTGAGGTTGCTTTTCTGATTGCTTTACCTCTTAACAAGACAAGAGAACAAAGAGAAGTTCTTTGATTGTCTAGCATTAAGACTCTTGTTATAGAAGTGCACACTTTCAGGGACATTTTGAGATGTCCTGTGCTTCTGAGCTGCCTGGACAGAGAGATCATCACATGCTGTAGGTCAGCCTCTCTCAGAGCCTGTCAGATAGGCCTTTGTCCTGCAGACCTGTCTTCTCCCATGGGCCCCTTATATCTGAGACTGGCACCTTAACCACTGGAGACACCTCACTTTCAAAGGGATGTACATCTTCCTGTCCCTTTGTCATTTTAAACAGGACTGTATCAAGTGCCCACCCCCCATGGTCCACCTCGTGATTCAGAAACAATGTGATATAAAAAGAACTTCCTGCCTCAGCCTGGGGACCTGGGAAGAGAGCTGATGGCCTGGAAGTAATCTGTTTTCCTCAGCTGCTAGGTGTATGCTTGGCTGAGATTAGGGCTGAATTATCATTCGTGGCAGGGAGATGCAGCCCGCACTGCCTTTAGGAGCCTGAGGAATCCCTTTCCCTTAGGGATCTCTACTCAGCTAAACAGAATCCTTGACTACTCCCCAGAAAAGAGTTTCAGGAGTCAGAGTGGGTCAGAATGGAGCAAATTTAGTGAATTTACTACACATTTAGACAGAAAGACATAGGAAAAGGACAGTGTACACCCAAGACATGTGGGTGGGCTTCTCAAGAGAACGATGCTTAAGTGTCTTTACAAGAGCTATATATATATATATATGATTTTATAGCTAAGTTATCCATTGCTCAAAGGATG